TGTGTGTGTATAAGATTGTGTGTGATTGTGTGAGAGTGTGTGTGTGTATAAGAGTGTGTGTGTGTGTGTGTGTGTGTGTGTGTGTGTGTGTGTGTGTGTGTGTGTGTGTGTGTGTGTGTGTGTGTGTATGTGTGTGTGTGTGTGTGTGTGTGTGTGTGTGTGTGTGTGTGTGTGTGTGTGTGTGTGTGTGTGTGTGTGTGTGTGTGTGTGTGTGTGTGTGTGTGTCTGGGTGTGTGTCTGGGTGTGTGTGTGTGTGTGCTTTTGTTTTTGTGATATATGAGGACACAAATGTGTATAATGACAAGCATATTACACTGGTATTACAACTTACATGTGATATATGAGGACATTGCATGAGTCCTCATATTTCAAATAGCTTAAAAAACATAAAAAACAATGTTTTTTTTTTAAATATAAAAATGCAGCATGTCTCCTGTGATGGGCAGGTTTAGGGATAGGGGCAGTGTGTGTGTGTGTGTGTGTGTGTGTGTGTGTGTGTGTGTGTGTGTGTGTGATGGGTGGGTTTAGGGATAGGGGCAGTGTAGGGGGATAGAATATACAGTTTGTCCAGTATAAAAGTCATAACGCCTATGGAATGTCCTCATATATCACAAAAACACAGCCACACACACACACACACATTCACTCACTCACTCTCACAAACACACAGACAGACTCACACAAAGACACACACACAGACTCTCTCTCTCTCACACACACACACACACACACTCACTCATTCTCACAAACACACAGACAGACTCACACAAAGACACACACGTACACTCACACACACAGACTCACAGACACACACTCACTCACTCTCACAAACACACACAGACAGACTCACACACACACACGTACACGTACAGACAGACTCACACACACACACACACACACACACACACACACGTACACACATACACACACACACACACACACACACACACACACACACACACAGACTCACACACACACACACACACACACACACACGTGTGTGTACTACGTATACGTCTAAATATTGTTCATAAAAATAAATCACTCTGACTGCAACAAAATTGAGATGAAGGAAAAAGGTCCAGAGTTTGTAGATTTACAACCAAAGACAACAACAGACACTCTTCACTATGAATGATCAAAGGCTGAGACTGACTGCTAAATTAATTTATTCTGATCTAAATATGCTGGATATACATTTTCACTATGCTGTTAGCAGTAAGAGTTTAAAAAAGACAACAAGAAGTCGAAACTCTTTATAAAAAAAAAATTCAATTAAATGTAATTTTTTTTATGTTAATTAACATTCATCTAAATAATCTTTTATCAAAATGTAATTACTCCACGTCTAAAAATGGTTCCCTTTTCAATAAAAGTCACTAGTCAAAGGTCATGGTAAAGTCTCCATGAAATCAAAAAATCAAAATGGATAATTCTTGTTTGTTTTTTATGGAATATTGCAATGTTTATTCGAAATGATTAATCAGTGCACATCATCATTATTGTGTTTAATTCATGTTCCTGGTAATGTTGAATGAGAATCAGTTCCTCTTGCAGCATCTCTTCTCTGATGATGTGGGCGGGGCTATAACATGTCACTCACATGAGATCAGCCAATAGCAAACCACAACCATCCAATCAGTTCCACACAGACACAGTCAAGCCCCGCCCACATGTGTTCTTGTTCCAGAAGTGTTTCACTCGATATACGACACAATAGAGAATAAAAGACGAGCTCAACTACAGTTTCATGACAATTTTAAAGTATACAGGTCTAGCTTTATTCTGCTTAACACTCATCTTTTTACTTTTTCCCTTTTGAACCTCCAGTTTCACTAAAAATTGGGTTGCGAATGCTGACTTGTTGACTTTAAACAGCGGCTTGTTCCTTAGCAACTATAGCTTAACTCCCTTACTGGATCCCTGTCATTTACAACGGCCAATACAGTGTGTTTAACATTTAAACTTTTTTATGTGATCACATTATTTCTTTGTTAAATATAGGGGGAAAGAGTTTCCAAGTTTTTCACACAGCTTGCTCTTAATATTAACCTCATTTTCATTTACCTAATGTTTTGAGCCACCCTCACTGAACCACACAAATTGGCTGTTTTACACACACACACTTTCTTCACCTCATTAATGCTGGGCGTTGCTTAGTGAAACGTGTTGATATTCATTGTTCCCCCCGAATGAGCCAAGAAAACGACGACTACGACCATCGCAGGTCACACTCAATTAGCACCTGCCTCATTCTTTTTCACACACACACACACACACACATCTCGTTTTGGGGACAATATGGAGTTGGACCTGACCCTCCTGGCGTGAAGCCTGGCGTGAAGAGTTGGGTGTGTATCAGTGTAACAAGAACCGTGCCAACCGGGAAAACAGTTCTCCAGGGATCTGTGTTGGTGCTCAAACACACACTGGCTTTAAACTCAGTCAGATTTAAATATGCAATATAACAATAAGCTCAAAAGAATGGATTCATATAAATGTATGTACTTTCTAAAGTTTAGAATCTGCATGATGTATTGCAGAAACCTGTCAGAAGCCTCCAGTCCTCAAGAGGGCGATAGAGATAATCGTGCCATTTAAACACTGTGCCACATGTTATTATTAAGATCGCTATTTTTAGTTAATCCGACTACCGCTAACTACCTATAAACACTGTTGACGTGTCAACTTTGACTATAAACGTGTTGACAGTTGAACTATCTTTAGCCATAGCATGTCAACAGTTAAACTAAGTTTAGCTATAAACATGCTAACAGAATAACTAACTTTAACTAGCTACATGAAGACAGTTTTAACTAACTAACTATAAACATGACTATAACTAACTTCAGGTATAAAAAATCAACATTTGGATAACTTAGCTAAAAACATCTCAACAGTTTAACTTTAAATATAGACTTTTTGATAATTGAAGTAACTTTAACTAAACATGTTAAAAGATTGACTTTAAAGTTATTCAAATGTTGATTTGTTAAAGCTAAAGTCCCCCTGTATCCTTTAAAACTCATCTTTGATCACCAAAATGACATATTTAAAAGTTTTTTCCTTGAGAAAAAACCCAGCTTGAATGTAACTCGACACCCTTGCCTCATTTAGTATGCGCGGCGGTTCTATGAATATGCAAATGAGCCCCGCCTCCACTCACTCCCTCAGCTCAGAGATCCACTGGTTGACGATCACACGTTGATCTGATTGGTTACAAGGTCGTTTGTGACGTCAGAAACACCAGCGATTTCAAACCGTGTTTTTGCCGTTTTAAAGAAAAAATAAGTCCGCAATCCTGTCGACTTATGAATTTACACATGGTTTGTCATAAAGCATATTAAAAACACCACATAGACACATAAACAACATTAAAACCTTGACTTTCACCACAGGAGGGCTTCAACTCTCAACATGTCAACAGTTAACTAACTATAAAAACACCTCTTGTGTATTTTTCATTGCATTATCAATCAGGCTCTGACACATTTTGTAGTGCAGTGATGTAAAGTCAAGCTCGAGTAGCGAGAAGCCTCTGTGTTCACATTCTTGGTCTAAAGCGTTGCATAATCATTTTGTAAACATATGCATGTGGTTGGCGACGAGGTGATGGTGAACTCAGTCCTCAGCACACGGAGATCCCTCGCCAAAAACACATTTACAAGCTTTTCGTAGACAAGATTTACGGTAATGAAACCAAAAAGGCTATGGAACCAATAAATGAACAAGTTTGTTTAAACATGCACTGATAAATATAATAAATGGTTTGCCAGAATGGACGTTGTAAGTGATAGTATCAAGTTACAAAACATCTCTAATATAGAGTAATCTTATCCGTGGAATATGTCTGTCCTGGATCAGCGCAGATTGTAGTATATTGATGCATGAGCCAAGGGAAACTCACACAGGGATTAAACAGATTTACTGCCTTAGTTTATTAGCTGTTTTTACAGTACAGTGTGGGCATGCACTGGGAAATGTCCACACCACTGTAATGTCAAAACATCTCGATGATGCTCTCCTGAGAACCTCTAAGGGTTCGTACGAGCCGCTTGAAGCACTTGAATTTGACTTTTGGAAATTTAAGTCCTGGAAAACACTTGAAAACAGCCATTTTTATGAAGAGCACTTGAAAAGTGCTTGAATTATTGACAGTATATGGGACATTTATTTAACATTTTATTGATAAAACAATATTTTCACACAAAATTAAAGCTGCAGTCCATCTGATATACATATAGAGGCATTTTTCATGGCTATGAGCGTGATATTACACATAAATATCCAAGTATATGATACAGCTTTTATTCTTCAAGTCAATCATATATTCATGGGAGAAAAATTAGTTTGAATAAGGAGAGCAAAATCTTTGTCATAATATTTTAGTTAGTTAGTTAATTATTTTCTTCGGCCATTTTGAACAATTAAATCTTAGGTCATATGTAATTCAAAAATCTTGTACATAATACAATGAAAAAACATAAAACAATGAAACAAATAGAGAAAGAAAATAATTTAAATACATTAGAAAGATAAATACAAAATGAGTACCTAGGAATTTAAATATAATTTCAATGTCATTGCATGTGTTGCACTTTATTTGATTTTGTTGTATTAGTTTATTTTTATTTATCTATTTACCTTTTTTAGAATTTAAAAGATAATAAAGAAAGATTTTGTTTGTTAAGTGAGATCTCTGATTGTAGTCTTTGAAAGAAAAACTAAAAGTAGTGCTTGAAAAGTCCAGGAATTTGATTTAACAGTATCTGCACAAACCCTGTCTAAGAAAAACAGCCACACACACACACACACACACACACACTGCGGTGGTCTCACTGTTAGTTATGAGTTTGTTTTCAATCTCCAGGTTATCCTGCAAGCACATGAGTTTGCTCCAACATGTTAAGCATTTCATAAAGAGGGAGAGAGGGCAAAAAGGAAGAGCCAATGGGAGTTAAGCAGGCGTTTTGGCTCATAATGAAGACCAGATGGTTTACCTTCACTGGTAGCCACATTCTTGGGAGCTTTGGTGGGTGTGTGATCCGTGCCGGAGCTCACATCGGAGGAGAGACTGGAGCTTCCCTTCCCTGGGACAAAAGGAGAGAAGGAAACAACATTGGCTGCGTTTACATGTAACCAAATCATCCGTTAGTAATTCACGGCTCAATCGGACTGAAAAGCCTTCCTGTAAACAACTTAACCGATACGACTGAGCTTGATACTAATTCAATTTCCATCGGATTGAAAGGCGTAGTTTATTCCTTTTCTAATCCGATCGACAGAACATGTAAACACTGGATCGGATTGAAATGGAAACAAAGGACTGCGCATGTGCAATGATGTAGAAATAGCATAATGATGTTGAAATAGCGTAATGACGTAGAAATAGCGTAATGACGTAGAAATAGCGTAATGATGTAGAAATAGCGTAATGACGTTGAAATAGCATAATGACGTTGAAATAGCGTAAGGACGTAGAAATAGCGTAATGATGTAGAAATAGCGTAATGACGTAGAAATAGCGTAATGACGTTGAAATAGCATAATGACGTAGAAATAGCGTAATGATGTAGAAATAGCGTAATGACGTAGAAATAGCGTAATGACGTAGAAATAGCGTAATGATGTAGAAATAGCGTAATGACGTTGAAATAGCGTAATTATGTAGAAATAGCGTAATGACGTAGAAATAGCGTAATGACGTAGAAATAGCGTAATGATGTAGAAATAGCGTAATGACATTGAAATAGCATAATGACGTTGAAATAGCGTAAGGACGTAGAAATAGCGTAATGATGTAGAAATAGTGTAATGACGTTGAAATAGCGTAATGATGTAGAAATAGCGTAATGACGTTGAAATAGCGTAAGGACGTAGAAATAGCGTAATGACATAGAAATAGCGTATTGATGTTGAAATAGCGTAATGATGTAGAAATAGCGTAATGATGTAGAAATAGCGTAATGACGTAGAAATAGCGTAATGACGTAGAAATAGCGTAATGATGTAGAAATAGCGTAATGACAGAAATAGCGTAATGACATAGAAATAGCGTAATGATGTAGAAATAGCGTAATGACGTAGAAATAGCGTAATGATGTAGAAATAGCGTAATGACATAGAAATAGCGTAATGACGTAGAAATAGCGTAATGACATAGAAATAGCGTAATGACAGAAATAGCGTAATGACGCAGAAATAGCGTAATGACGTACGACTGGTTTTGGGCATTTTGACTGCGTGATCAATATAAGCAGCGGCACAGCGGTTCATACGCGCATCGTCTCCAAATTATGACCAGAACTGAATAAATATCAAGTCTAATGTTTAAAACCAATAAAGAACCGATGTAGGAGAATGGTTATTATGCGCAAACAGTGGGAAACTGTATATTCGTGCAGTGAGCGCATGTCAAAAAATATAATCCGATTTGAAGCTTGTTACACATAAACGCGCACATCGACCCGATCACATGTTCAGCGCTCATGTAAACACGACATTCAGATTCATCAGTCGGAATGAATTCAGTCCGATTGAAAGAAAGGTCGTGCATAGCCATTGTGTGCTTGTTTTTGAGCTCATAGCATTCAGTCCCATTGGCAGCTGTGGGAACACTGGTGTGAAGGGTGGGGTGCAGCGCTTCCCACTGTAAGTCAATATTATAACAGATGCAATAAAATTACCATCAGACATTTTGGCCCCATCACTCATTCACTCACTGAAACGTTACTGAAAGCAAGGAAACTCCTCTTGTTGCTAATCCAGAGTGAGGGCTGAGGTTTTCATGATTAAAGATTTGGAGAGGAATTCATTACCCAAAACTCATCAGGAATGCGCCGAAGCTGAGCAAAACCCTTCGTTTCTTCCTGCCAAGTAAAGAAAAAGGCAATATCCGTCACTGGAACAATAGATGGAAGAAGTTACTTTAGTATCTCCAAAACTGGCAGAGTTTGCAGTTTCGCAGTGATCCTCCAAGATGGATTTATCTATCGTACATTAGGACATATTTGGCCACTGTGCAAAAACCATTCATGATGCGTTTGGTTGAGGTTTAAGAGGGTGAATAAGTTCAATGCATGCACATTAGTTCACATTTGTGTATTTGAATGTTGGATTGGTGTTGTAATAAAAATGTGGTCATTCATAGCCTGGAACGGAGATGCTTCAGACATAAATCAAAAACACTTCCACCATCCTCAAGGTTATTGTCCCCCAGTCGCAGGGACAAGCCAGTGTTAAGAGCCTGATTTTCACTTACGGAAAGCATGAATTTCCATGATTAGCTGGTAGGATCACCATAGCCAAGCTAACCAACCAGGGGTGCGTTTCCCAAAAGCATCGTTAACAAATAGGTTACAACATAATTTAACGATCCCTGAAATCGTAGTTCCAACGAACATTCGCGACCAGAATCTCAACAGTTCTTGACCTGTGAATAGCAGCATAGTTTATTGTTAGTAGACGTTGATTTTAAGTCCCCCTGTGGTGAAAAATTAAGCTTTTAATGTTGTTTATGTGTCTATGTGGTGTTTTTAATGTGCTTTAAGACAAACCGTGTGTAAGTTCATAAGTCGACAGCATTGCTGAGTATTTCCTCCTTAAAACTGCAGTGAACCAAAGACAGTCTCAAAAACACGGTTTGAAATCGCTGGTGTTTCTGACGTCACAAACGACCTTGTAACCAATCAGATCAACGTGTGATCGTCAACCAGTGGATCTCTGAGCTGAGTGAGTGAGTGGAGGCGGGGCTCATTTGCATATTCATAGAGCCGCGCATACTAAATGAGGCGAGGGTGTCGAGTTACATTCAAGCTGTTTTAAGGCATGAAGAAATTTCAAGGAAAAACAAGATAGATTACATTATTGACTACTTTAAAATAACCATTTTTTTCTTAGTGTGAAGGACATATTAATGATCTAGAGAACCTTTTTTCCACTATAAAGAGCCTTTTGTGCAACGGAAAGGCTCCATGGATGTTCAATGTTCTTCACCATCCCCAAAAAGATTATTTGGACAAACTCACCTGCACCATTACTATCGTTTGCTTTGCAGATGCTACTCGAGTTTGAATGATATTCTTATAGTTTTAAGACTCACTTAAGAGTCCGAATATGTTTTGTGGCCACTGGGAAGATTGTCTTTTATAAATGTAGAGTGTGTATTGTCTCTAAATGGGTATAAATCAAGGCAAATGTGGGAATGTGTGCTCAGGATAGTTCAGTCTCCATCTGGAATACTTTGGATTTTTTTTTTTTTTTTAAATCTCCATCAAGGTGGAAAAGTGCTCTTATGGATTAGGGTCATTGGATCAGGAGCAGGACTGGCCACTCCGGTTGTGAAATTCGAAGGAAATCTCCTTTGCAGTCTTTTGTAATTTCTCCCTTTTCGTGATGGGAATGGCTGCGTTCGGGATGGCAAAGGACTGACAGCTTAATGACTCAAATTTATTTTCAAAGTCCAGCGGAGCACTTTCCTTCCTAGTTTAGTAGGAGAGAACGGAGACTTTTGGATTTTCCAGTCGTTATTTTTTACAGGTCAGAGTTCAGCTGTAGTTCAGCGCCGGTCTAGAAGATCTCAAATCAATGATCTATTCTTCTACATCAGGCGCTCTTAAATACGTTCACTGTAAACCTTAATGTCTTCTCTCTCTCTTATTGGTAGTTGCCATGTCGCATTCTCATCTTCACATTTAAAGAATAAATATAAACATTTGTAAATTTATTAATGTTTATAAACTGTTTACACAAATTAGGTGGGTCATTCTCAAAATATGGAGATAATTGTGCCCTGATATTATAGTCATAAAAAATCCATATAAATGGCATAATTCCATCATTTTATAAACAATATACAGTAGTTAGTATGAAATAATTTGTCTCTATTTGTTTTGCACTTCTGAAATTCCTTATCTATTTATTTATAATTTAGTTTTCAAAGGTTAAGCATTAGTGCAAGGTCCAACAAGTATGCAAAAAATACTTATTTATTACTTATTATTATATCAAATCGTCCTACGTGGTTAGTAATATTATCAAAATGTTTAAAATACTTACCATCAGCTTTTATAGGAGAATAAATAAGCTTAATTCAAAAGTTTAACATTTTGTAAGTCTTAAAATCAGCCCCCATCTCTGTGTTTACGCCTATTTTAAAGAAAGTGTGTGTTCGCTACAATAAACATGTGATTTCTGTGCATCGTCAGGCTTATATCATACATTTCAGGTCACATTATTTGGTATTGAGTTGAGAAAACCGTCTGTAAAACTGTACAAAAGCAGCTCTTTCAGCAAATCTCAGTGGTTTTAGCTCTCGATTCTGGATTAGAAGCGTGTGTAGCGTCTCTTTTAGCAGCAAAGCAATACAGTTTCCTCATCCATTTTGATTAAGCTGGAGACTTTAAGCTTTGTGAAAGCTTTGCCTAGCGACATAACAATAACAGCGCTGGTCTCTGGCCGTGACTCGAGGCGTGCGAAACACATGGGGTCCAGTTGAGTCACGTTCTGCTCACTACAACAGGAACCCAAGCAGATGTTCTGGATCAGCGATGTCACCGCAACATGTCGTCAACAGTGTGTTCAGTGTGGGTCACGTCTTTCTGCTTTAGAAATCATAGTTTTCCCGTTATGGCAGAGGTGATAAGAGTTCATTGAGTCATTCAATGCATCAGCGGTAATCTGACAGCTTGTTTGAAAGGTCTTCACACAACAGCTTTCCTGCGACGTATGTTGGCAACGTTTCACCGGAGACGTGTAAAGGCATATAGCAACACATGACCAACACTACAGCAACTGTGAACAGCGTTTCTAAGTGTTTATCCTGCATGGATGCTTGATAAGAGGAACTTGTTTACAGAGAAGTCGGTGTTTGTGGGACGAGTGCTGAGCTGTACTCATATGGAGCCACTTGTGGTTCAAGTTTATGACCTGACAGAGGATGAAGAGCCATAAACCAACCCTTGTAAATTAACACACATACAAACACTCACATCTCCTCCTAAAGAACGCAAGAGCTTATCCGAGGGCCTCAACTGAATCATTTGAAATATAGATAAAAATGAATCAAGTAGCCTCATATTTATAGCCCAAG